GAAATCGTTGCCCGAGAGGCCTGAGGCTGTGCGCCGGTCCGTACTTATGCCCGAGTGGCGTCGTGGCCCGCACATTCTGCAGCTCACTGCTTTTGACCCATATTATGATAAGCTGAAGCGATGGCATGGAGTAGCTCCTCTATGTCTTTACATGATATGAGGCCTCCAGGTGAAACCAGATTTTTGCGTAGACTACAGGTATCATGTCCAAGTCATGTTTCATGCTTGCTCTCGAGTGGCCCCAGAACTTGTACTTATCTGGATCAGACATCACTGTCTGAGAGCACCTTGGTCCGATTATCAGATCGGACTTGAGGCTGCTTTTGTACCGATTTTGTCAGCGTATGGATCAGAGATGGGTGCAATGTGCCAGCCGATTTTGTACGCACCAGGATCGGACTTCGCTACGCATATGCCATGCGCCTAGTGGGTACATCTAAAGTAGGTTGGATAGTTTGCGTGACGGGCTTCGGCTTCTGCTTCGGCTTCTGCTTCGGCTTCTGCTTCGGCTTCTCCTTCGGGGTTTGTTTCTTGGGTGCACCTGCACCAATGTCAAGTTAGATTTGGCATCGAGTGGACGTGAATGACATGACTGACCTGGTCTTTCGAGGTGCTCCGTGCCTTGATTCTCGGGTGTACCTGCACCGGTGTCAAGTTAGAATTGGCATTGAGTGGACGTGAATGACATGACTCACGGGGTGTTTCACCAATGTGCTGCACAAAGGATTCACCAGATGAGCGTGAATGATGTGGTCCAGAGGGCGTTGCCATAACTTGTTCGAAAGACGGTGCAGGGGCTAAAGCGAAGAGCATCAGGTTGTTGATACATGTGTGAAGCAATAATGAGAACATACGGTTATCCGGTGTCGCATTCACAGTGGGTAGGTTTTTCCATGCTTCTATAGTTTGAAGTCAGTCGTAGTTTTGTCATTAGACCAGGCAGAAACTTGCCATGATTGACAATCTCATAAAAGTCAGAAGCCACGATATCCATTGGATGAGAGCTCATCAAATGCCGCCGGGAGGATTTGACCAGATCGTTCAACGTTTTGTGTTTGCTCAACACAGCCTGAGCACCGCGGTCGTCCACTGTATGGTGTACCCCAAGAGCAACCAGAAAGCTATGTATGTCCGACGTTGCCAGATTCAACGGCGGCACCTCCCTGCTAGCAGCAGTTAATATCCCTTGACACTGCTTCGAGTACTCTGCCTTTTGCGTAGAAGACAAGCTCCTCCAAAGAGACGAAGTATCTGGTGAAGCTTGCGCATGCGACTGAGTAGCATCCATAGAGGTCTCACGGTTACCATCGGGAGCGTCGATGCGAGAGTGATGTGCGTCCGATTCTTCCTCATCAGATGATTCGGGTATAGGGTAGAGTGCGTGTGAGGGGGAGGGGCAGGGGGAGTGGGAAGGCGAAGACGAAGGAGTAGGGAAATCCGGAAAAGCATGACGAAGACTCCGCTTGAACCAGAATGAGTTGTCGTCTGAGTCTTTGGTTGAGTCTTTGTTTGAGTCTTTGTCTGAGTCTTCGTTGAATGGTCCTTCTGAAGCAGCACGTGTAGGAATGGGTACGGGGACGACATAGGGTGGAACTGGGGCGACATTTGGAGGAACGGGGGCGACATGTGGAGGAACGGGTGCGACATGTGGAGGAACGGGTGCGACATAGGGAGGAACGGGGGCTACATAGGGAGGAACGGGGGCTACATAGGGAGGACTTGAGTCGCTCATAGAGGGTCCTTCTGAAGCAGCATGCGGAGGAACGGGTACGGAGGCAACATAGGGAGGACTTGAGACAGGGTTCCTCTGAAGCAGCACGCCGAGGAACTTGGGGGCGATATGGCGAGGACGATTTGATACCTGTTCGGAAGGGGGTAGATGGTCTGCTGTCCGCTTTCCTGTAGACATGGCGTGTTCGAAGAATCGAAGGACAGAGAGCAGGGTCGGGACTAGAGAGTCAAGAAAGTTACGAGGGGAAGGCCGGGGTTGATGGTGGAAGAGAGGAGAGAGGCGAGAAAGCAAGAGCAGGCGACACGAGAACTTTGAACGGCCGACGTTGGGTTTGCGGATCGTTCCGCGTCTGTGTCGTCTTAAATAAAGCAAGCGAGGAAGATAACGGTCGAGCCTGACACATAACGTGACCTTTGGACACGGTGGCACCATGGAAAAGCGGGGCGCAGCGGCCGAGAGCGGCCGACGCGCTCGCGTCATGCCACGTGCCCGGTTCCTTTCACCTCGACTACCGCATATGTCCTTTCACGCTTGGACAATCCAGTCTATGCACGATGTACCCGCTTCAAGCTATACACAATTGCACAGAAAGGAAACGTCGACGCGAAGATGTCGATAGCCCAGATGTACCGCCAGCAAAGCGACATCACCAGCGACATCTGACGGCCACACCATCGAAGCGTAAGGCGCGTCTCTCGACGAAGCCAGCCCTCTCGACTCAGAGACGCTATTCTCTGAGGACTACCGCAGAGCGGGCACGAAGGAATGTCACACAAAATCTAGCTCATATCCCAGTTACACCGGCTCCCCTTCCCATTCCAACCCCAGTTCCCGCCCCAATCCTTCCGACAACCCGCATCCTCACCAAACGTCCACGCAACGCTGTGGAAGCCGATATCTGTGAAGAGCCACCAGCAAAGCGTCACCACCAGCGACATCTCACATCCCCACCACCGAAACGTAAGGCCCGTTCATCGACAAGGGCGACCGCCCCTACCCAGAGCCGTTATTCGCTCAGAACCACCGCGGATCGTGTTCGAAGGAATACTGCAGCAACTTTGGCTCACAACTCGACTGTCGTACCTCCCATTCCTGCTCCAACCCCAGCTCAGACCCCAATCGTCTCTCCGCCCCCCGTCCTCGCGAAGCGTCGACGCCTCACTGTCGACGACGATTTCGACGTCGATGTCTCCGAAGAACCCCATGCAAAGCGTTATCGGCTGGCACCGTCACCTTCGAAGCCCACGAGCGATTCGTCAACTAAGCCAGCCATTGCCATTCAGAGCCGTTACTTTCTTAGGATGACTGCAGATCGCATTCGAAGGAACATCTCAGCAACCCCTCCTCACATTCCAGCTGCCTCCCCTCGCATTCCCGTACAACTCCCCCCCCGCGGATCATCGCCCACCCCGGAATTCGTCACGATTCCTGCCTCAACTTTTGTCAACGCTCCGGTTCCTCCTTCCGCTCGCACCTCCGATCGCGTCCAAGCTCGCCGTATCCCCATCCAAGTTTCCAATACCGCCGCAACTCCCCTTCCTTCTCATCCGTTGGCTAATATTCCCACTCGTCCTCCCATTGACATCTCGGCTACCAGTGCTACCTCAGGGCACACGCATGTTCCCTGGGAAGAAGTTCCTGAACGCGAACGAACTCGTCTGTCTGCAATGTGGGACAAAGTAATCATTCGGGCGTTGGGCGGATACTCCATGTTCGAACTGGGAGGCCTGAATACCTATGCCCGAGCGCTGGGTTTGTCGTCTTGCGATAAGCCCGATGATCTCGTTACGCACGCCGTGCTTGTCAAATATCCAGAGCTCGTGGACATCGTCTGGGAATTTCGGGATGACTTTACCAAACTCTATAAGTATTGTAACCATCGTGAGTGCGGCTGTTCATCGTCCCTTATCCTTGTACTTACCGGGGATTCCCAGCTGCATTCTTCAATGCCCTCGATGCACCGATTGACGCGGCCTTAGCCGAAATAGAACCTCTGTTCATGAGCTATCGCTTGCCTTATTTCTATGATTATTTCGATCCTTTCTCAGTCGATAATCTTGCTGTGGCCCTGGGGGACAGGTGGGAACCTGTGGCAGACACCTTTGAGGACCGAAAGTGCGTTGATCTTTGAGATCTATCTTGTAACCCTGACTGATCCATTCGTAATCCCTGGTAGACCTTATAAGACCGTGGATCCCGAACCACAGACATTAACGCTTGTAACAGGTGTTGGCACACACTGGGGTTTCTATTTCGCATATTCACCGAATAAAACAGCGGAAGAAGTTTGCAAGAGTAATTTGTCCCAAGACCTCCTCCTTGCCACCCAAGAGCTCGGTGCTACCGTTGACACTGCGATACTCAGTCCTGAAGCCATATCACGTCGTACTGCTGCAGCGGAGTGCTGCTTCTACACCCTCTATCTCACCCGCATCATCGTACTTTCCAGATTTTTGGAATTTCTTCCCAAAGACCTACCGGATGGCTATCACCATGCATGCTGGGCTGTCTTTCAACGGAACCCACCTCGGACATCGGAGGGTGATGATGTTTTCTCCGTGGTCTACCGACATGTCGCGAGGGCTCGAGGTTCCATTGCAGAGCTAAAGCGGACGGCTGAAACCCGTTTCGAAACTTTGGTTGAGAGGAACAAGTGTCTGTTCTTGGAGCTACATGAATATGGCTGCTATCCCCCGAGATTTCCATTCTACCTTGCAGTCGACGAAGTCGAAGCCCCCATTTCCCCCCATTTGTTGAGCGGTCGTCGTCCGGCCTGTTCACGGTTTGGTGTCAGTACCTTGTTTTATGGATTTGATACTCCGTGAGGCCTTTCTCATATTTTGTGCGTATCTTCCTGTATCCTTCGTCCCGTGTCTTTCGCCTATTCTGACCTCGTCATTGTCTCGTTGTTAGTTGTCGCTTTACACAGCCTCGAGTTTGACTTTATCGGATGTAGCTGGCCTCTACGTCTCCCGAACCCGGCCTCGGTAGTCGATACCGCAAGAGCCGCTTGCAGCCCTGAGACACAACCGCCGTCCGTAGTCCTCTCATGCTTCGCCTTGTTGCCTACCTCCCGGGCGACGATCCCGCACTGCATCCTGCGCGCACCACTTTAGGCTAGCGGTCGCGAGGAGGTCTCAGGCGTTCCCAACCGATGGACATATCGAGACCTACGGCCCAATGGAGACCAACACCATCTCGAACGGGGCTGTGTTGCCTCTACATAGGTCGTCATCTTCGCAGATCAGGTGGCCTTGGACAGTATTGCCCATACAGAGCTCACATCCTACTATCGGTTCCCTCGCGTCCCGCGCCTTCCTCCGATCAGCTCGCCGATCTCTTTCGCTTTTGCAGCGGGAATGAAGTTCAGTGCTCCCCTTTGATTCCTCTCCTCGTACCAGATGCACGATCATGTCCTGGCACAGTCCATCTACAGCGATCGGCTGTGTCCAGCGCGTTACCTATTCACGCCTGTGGTCTACGTATCCGTACTGGTGAATCTTTCTACCACCTTTTTTTTTGTGCTTTGCTCCTGCTCTCGTTTCGCGACTCTTTTTTTCTTTGACCATGTCCTGGCACAGTCCATCTACAGCGATCGGCTGCTGTCCAGCGTGTTGCACTTTCAACACCTGTGGTCAATGTGCGTGTATTACTCGCATCACCCGCCTTCTCATATCTTTGTTTCATTTTCGTGGTTCGTTTCTTCTCGTCGTTTTTTTATATCTGCGTTCACATTCTTTCGGAGTACTTTGTTGATACCATGTCCTGGCGCAGTCCATCTACCGTGATCGGCTGACGTCCAGCGTGTTATCTTTTCATCACCTGTGGTCAATGTATTTGCTCCCCCTTTCTTGTCTCGTTCTCTCTCATGGTCTCTTTTTTCGTGATTTTTTGCTACCGTTCCGCATTCGATTTTTTCCTGTAGTGATGTCGGATCCCTGTATTATCACGTCCTGGCGCAGTCCATCTACAACGATTGGCTGACGTCCAGCGTGATATCATTTCAACGCATGTAATTTGAGTACCTATATTCATACATCCGGCCTCGAGTCCTCATTTCTTCTACTTTTCCTTGCTTGTAATTCATCCTACTGCCCGTGCGGTTCCTCTGTTCCTTTACTCTCGGGCTCAGGCTGTCCACTGTACCTCCCTGTCTGTAGGCCTTGATCGAACACACACCGAAGCTTCTGCTACTGTTTTGAGCCAGTAGATCCCACCGGGAATTGTACGCGTCGCTCCGGAACGACAGTTTGAAAATTTGAGTAACCGTACGGTGTTCAATTGCTAGAGTCCTCAAGTGCAGAAATATCGAGCGTAGTCCATTCGTCGTGAAAGAATACGATGAGATGGCGGGCACATAATATTTGTTCCAATCCGAGCGTAGTGATTCTCTGCAGCCTTCCACGAAACAATTTCGTGATCTCCTGCCATCCGCCAGGCGAACTCGCAGGTCGTCTCAACTGGACACCCAAAGAGAAGGACGTTATCAGAGCACAACGACAGAGGAACCATATCCTTTGTGCTGGACAGGGAAAGCTAGGTTCTGCTACCGTTACGCACTCCCTGAGAACGGCAACGCCTCTCGCGACGTGATGAGACGACGGAACTGGGTTTGCAGACAAAGCCCTATCTCTAGCAGGGCAAACAACAGGAAGCGATCTTTGAGGTGCTGTCCACGATAAATTGAGTACACTAGAGAAACGTCCCGGCTCTCCCTCGGGGGTCGCATGTGAAAGGCCTGACATGGGCACGTACAGGCCACAGCGAGGCAGCTCAAATGCATGCCGGAAAACTCGTGCTCTTGAAGGAGATCGAGTGAAGACGGTATCCACGCTAGAGAGAACTTTGTCGTACAGGTCTCCGAATATGATCGAATCTTCAGAGCCCTTCGCGCACCGATACAGACAATATAGTAAACGACCGTGACTGACGTAGGGCCTGTAGAGGACGATACTCTATGAAGACGGCGAGACAAGGTAAACCTGTGCATGCCCTCGACACGTCTAGGTATCTCACACCTATCGAGTTCGTGACCACTCGCTGGTGCACTTACAAGTAAAGACTTATAGCACGATAGAGCTCGACAACGGATCCAGACTCTTAGAAAGCCCTCAAGAAACCTCCTTGCCAGTTTGTTGCAGAACCAAAGCCGACGGTCGTCCTCAGGAGCACGCAACCTCCTTCCCGCACGGAAGCAGAAAGCGGACACCTCGACGTAATCGGCGTCGCCGAGTCCGAGCACTTTGAAGACTCCGGTGAGTGTAACGCCTTCGGCGTATAGCGACAACATCTGGTATCGTTGCGGCATAGTTGGGACCCGCCGATGGTGTTTAGTAGCCTGAGGACTTTCGAAGAGCGTACGTCCACACTCAGAGGCTCTAGGAGGAAACGTAGGCATACGTATTGACGACCTGCCCGAACCCAGTGATGGGAAAAGACAGCCCCCATTGCGGAGGCTGATTGTCCAAGGGGTCGATGACGGCGGCGACATTTGACGACTCAAGTTGAACTTCGGACGGCTTGAGCCTGCGCGACGGAAAGCGCATCGGGCAGATATGTGCCCAACCTCGGTGAAGAAAGTCGAAGGCTTGTTGATGCCTATATACATATCGTCAATATAGTGCGTAGGGACACAGAAGGCAGACACGTACCCTTTACCACAGATATCCGTCTTCATGATCACTTTTCTTGCTGATGCGTGGTCGTCGCTGCCAATAAGCCGGTGTATGTTCGACACACTGAGAGGGAATAATGTCAGTTATTATTGGCATCAACGACTCCTTGCTGCGACTTACTGGTGAAAGGTGACGTGTGAAATCACTTGACATTATCTCGAGCAGTCCTGAGCACGATGGTTTGAGACGAAAAGTCTAGAAGATAACGAAAGGGGAAGTATGGTCAGTTATATGAGCTTCGTTGCACTTGGACATCAGCGGGTGCTCGTATCCACTCGGGTGTCGCCCGGCTGAAAGCAAAAGGCAGAACATACCGGCAGCCTGACGATATTTCATCATGGTGAATTCATGAGGCCTTGAATACTATGAGCCTTATAGACCGAACTCAGACGAATAGTAAAGACGTACCGAAGATTCAACCACGATGCTGGTTGATGCAGCAACGGACACTAACCACTCGCAGGTCCTGAACACGCACAAATCAAGGGGCTCATGAACACAAGTGTAGTTGAACCTAAATGCCAACAGGGTCCCCCTGTACCTCCCGAAGAAGGCTAAATGGCACCCACTCTAGCGTCCCGCTCCGAGTGATGGATAACACGAGTGAACAAAACCCCGAGAGAAGACACGCATTCGAGGAGTACATAGTGGATATGTGTCGTGCGACACGACTCGTAACTTGTGAACGACGAACACTCTGACCGTCGAGGTTGGAGGCTGAGATGTTGACGGGAGAGAGAAAGAGCAGAGACGAAGAGCCAGATCCTTATATGCCATTTGCATCCCTATTGTTTCGGACCAGACAATAACCTGTTGAAACGCGCCGTGTCATGATCGGGTGGCACGGCACAAGACAAGACAACTGACAAGATCTAGAGACAAAGCCGCTTATAGCAAATGATCACAAAGAGCATTCCACGAGAGACCGAAGAACAAAATGTCGCATATCAAGGAGTAACCATCGGAGTACTGGCAAAGCCTCGAAACCAAGTGCCTTGTAAGAGCGAGAGTCGGCGGTGTCCAAGACGAGACGCGACCCGCCACAATACAGTATTTTCAATTCGCACTCCGACTCCCGAGTGGCACCGTGGCCCACAAAAATCTCGGCTCGCTTTCCTCTTGGCTTCTCGACATTGTTGAGGACAATTTTCCTCACCTGCATGTTTGGAGAAAGCGTTCTAAGTTCTACATGAGAGCCATGTACTGTACTTTTTCGACCAAAGGTTCGTCACGCGTTCTCCGCGCTGATGAACCGAACAAAATCCTGCGTGACCTCACGCATAACGCATGGTGAGCGAACAGAGGCGCATGGCATATGCGTAGCGAAGTCCGATCCTGGTGCGTACAAAATCGGCTGGCACATTGCACCCATCTCTGATCCATACGCTGACAAAATCGGTACAAAAGCAGCCTCAAGTCCGATCTGATAATCGGACCAAGGTGCTCTCAGACAGTGATGTCTGATCCAGATAAGTACAAGTTCTGGGGCCACTCGAGAGCAAGCATGAAACATGACTTGGACATGATACCTGTAGTCTACGCAAAAATCTGGTTTCACCTGGAGGCCTCATATCATGTAAAGACATAGAGGAGCTACTCCATGCCATCGCTTCAGCTTATCATAATATGGGTCAAAAGCAGTGAGCTGCAGAATGTGCGGGCCACGACGCCACTCGGGCATAAGTACGGACCGGCGCACAGCCTCAGGCCTCTCGGGCAACGATTTCTTGTGGCCCCGAGCCCTCGGCCACACGATTTCGTTGCCCGAAATCTTGCGGCCAATCAGAATGAGTGTTGGCGTCGACTTGCTGGCTTGCGACATTAATGTCGCAACGACTTCGTTGCTCCTCTAGTAAACGCCAGAGCTCCTCCGGTATTATTGATCCATGCACCGCACTGAATATGTCACCGGAAAGCTACTGCTTCAACTAGCTCATGCTCTCTTACACTA